TATAATTTATAATTACCATATATGTGCATAGTAACGTATGTGAATAGTGTCATATATATGATAAATATTATACAGGTATATATTTAATTGTACATTTACATTTTGTATGTATATATTGACATATTGTTTCTTTAATTTTTATGTAAATTATTAAGATAAATTTTGTATGGCAAATTTCAAACAGCAAAAATTTCAATAACTTATATTTTTCAAGATTTACTGCAGTGACATGATTGTTCTTATTTTTATTATGATGTCAAATTTAAGTGATGATATATTAGAGGGAATAAAGTTTCTAAAGTTACTTTAGAAAATTTTGTTTAATATTTATCAAAATGACGTAGTTTTGGAGTTGAAAAATTAAAAAGTTATAATGATAAAAACTATTGTAACCCTGAAATAAATTAAAATTGCAAGCACGTCATGATTTTCACCCAAAACGACGCCGTTTCGGTGAATATTAGATAAATTTTTCTAAAAAAACTTTAGAAAAAACTAACCCTATGTTATAACTTACAAATTATTTTTATAAGATTCTTTTGGAGGTATTTGTTTGTTTGTTTGCCTAAAGAGCTTATAAGATTACTGGTAGAAGGTAATCTAAATACTTGCATGATTAAGAAATTGAGTTTACTGATTCAAATAATAAATTTGTTAGACATAACGAGGCATAAGGATGCCTTTGCAAAGTACAAAGATCTGATAAATAAAAAATTTCATGCTTATAAAAATATCTTCACATATAATATAAGGGGAAAAAGTTTGTCCATTTAAAGGATGTATTTTTGTGTTATTTTAAATAAAATGACGTCGTTTTGGTGCATAATTGGTAATTTTTTACATTCTCTCTTTTCCATAAAATTAGAAAGAGAGAGAAAGTGAACGAGAGAGAATATAAAAAATTATCAATTATGCATCAAAATGACATTGTTTCATCTAAAATGATACAAAGTTACATCCTTTAATAGGATAAATATTTTTTTCATAATTTAATATATTTCTGTGATGTTAGACTGTTTTCAAAATATTATGATATTATTATTTATTTAAAATCATGAAGATTTTTCATACTAAGATATGGCCGGAAACATTACCTTTTTGCAAAAAATCTGTTACATCATTATCCTTTACTGGGATAAATATCTAATTAAGGGTGTGTTTTCATATTTTGATAACAAAGTCTAAAATAGATGTTGCATGTGTGCGAGGCAGAAATATTATCCAATAAAATCTATATTTTTATTCCACTGTGAAGTTTTGTATTAAAGCATATTTATATTTTAGTCGTAATATTTATATTGTGTAAAGGTGACTTAATACGCTATATTGATTTAACAGCCTGTACTTTTATATTTCAAAATAAAATCAATTTCAGTAAGCAATGGCGGAACCATCTTCCCAAGCCAGCAAGGGCTAAAGAAAATTTAGCTAATACCAAACACTAAAACGTAGAGTGTTATTTAGACACATTAAAAATATGGCTAATATCCGAATTTTAGCTGGGTCAAGCCCCCTCCCTAACGTGGCTCCGTCTCTATGATTAGTATTCCAATGTGCATATAATTAGAATTACAACTACACAACTAACATTTCTCAATTAATAATATAAGGATATTACAATTTTCTTCCATTTTGATTATCGATTTTTTACGAACTAAGGGCATGTTTGGTGCATAGTATAGGATAAGGCATGATAGTATAAGACCTGATTAAATTTTAATACTATCCAGCGTTTGGTATGATATTGTATAAGATAATATCCTCCAATATTTTAAAAATTAATATATTAAAAAAATTTATTTTAATATATAAATATTAAAATGATATATTAGTTTTTGAAAAATGTACTTGTAACTGTAAGCAATATTAATACATCAATTCCTTATCAAGCCTAATCCATCACTCTTAAGCCGGATTAAGGACATGTTTGGTACATATAATAGGATAAGGCCTGATAATATAAGACCTGATAATATAAGGCCTGATTGTATAAGACCTGATTAAATTTTAATACTATCCAGCGTTTGGCACGATATTGTATAAAATAATATATTGTATAAGATAATATCCTCTAGTATTTGGTAATGCACTGTATAATACTATATATATATGATAAAAATAAATATTTTTAATGAAAATATCATTTAATAAAGAATTTATATAATTCTTCAAAAAATGTCATATGATATTAATTTTTATAAAAATTTATTGATCAGTGTGTCCAACATATAAATTAATTTTTATAAAAATAAAAATATTCAATATTTTAAAAATTAATATATTGAAAAATTAATTTTTATTTTAAGAGATTAATTTTAAAATAATCTATTAATTTTTTAGAATTACATTGGTCAACGATGTTAATACATCAATCTCTTGTCAGGTCTTATCCCTCACCCTTAAGCCAGATTAAGTTATACATCGTTTCGATGTATTAAGGGATTATGTTGTATAAGCTTATATTATACGATGGTCACACCAAACAACTGAAAATGTTATAACGTATAATATAAGCTTATACTATCATGCCTTATACGTCACACTAAACAGGTCTTAAGTTATACATCATTTTGATGTATAAAGGGGTCCTGCTGTATAAGCTTATACTATACGATGGTCACACTAAATAACTGAAAATGTCATAACGTATAATATAAGTTTATACTATCAGACCTTATACATCACATCAAACAGCCCTAAGTCATTTACACTTGTTTGTTGGGGTTTTGGAAGAATATAACGGACAAATGAGCGGTGAGAGATATTGGTATTTTGTTGAGTAGGTCCCAAGAAAACCTATATAACTACACCACCCAAAAAGAAAATACCCCCGATATTTTCCTACGAGTTTGTTCTATAATCTATCTATGAACAAGATTCTCATATTTTCTTTTCCTTCGCGATTCTCATAACAAATTATGCAACAAGTTGAGAAATAGCATTGTTTTTTTTACGCCAATCCTTAGGACAGAGGTGATTCTTCTCTAATATTTAATTAAAAAAATTCCAAGTCTAAATTGGGTGAAAATATAATGATTTTTATTGTCTTATATTTAACTAAAAAACTCCAACTTTAAATTGGGTACAAATAGATAATATTTTTCTCTTATAAAAAAATCATAATGATGCTTAACATATCAATCACAAAATATTTTATTCTCGTCAAAAGACAAAACAAAAATTACTTATTTAATCCCTAAAAATAAAATTTTAAGTACAAAAAAAATGTAAAACAACACAGTGAATTGAATCCAAAGCCAAAGCTACTCTAGAAGGGAATGAATCTTTTTATGTTTTATTTTTGTAAATAGTTAATTCAATTTAAATTATTAAGTTATTAAGTAATTAAGGTCATATTATGATTTTATATATTCTATTTTTTATACACTTTCTCGAGTAACAGTCATTTGGACGTGAGATACATATAATATAAGGACTTATTTTTTTAGTTTATCTTGTGCTGATTTTATTTTATTTTTTATTTTTATTAAAAAACTGAAGTAATAATGATTGAACTCCTATTAAAAAGTATAGAGGCTATGATATTACATAAAAAAATTATTTAATATAAAATTTTAAATTATTAAATAATTATCACATTGATAATTTTCTATTTTTAATTCCTAATAATTTTTACATAATCATATAATGTGGAAGATCCCATTTATTTATGAATCAAGGGTCAGTGATTGAAATGATAATTAATTAATTATTTACAAAATAATAGTCAACGAACAAAGTGATTCACTTACTCATTTTATAAACTTTTTCATTAAAATTATAACGATTAATTTGTATATAAATAATGGGAAATCAGTTTCTTATGCTGTAGGAAAAAAGTATCTTATGTAGAAATAAAATTATAAGTGAGACTTATAAATAAGAAGAGAAAAAAAAAATTGGAATCCATAAATAATTAAACCTTCCATACATAATAATACGAAAACAAGACATAAAAATTCAATTTCCAATTTTAAGTGTTACTAGTTCTATGGTCTATTCGAGGCTGGATTAATTCCAACACATGACCAAACTCATCAAAAAAGGCCACGTCTCCTTTTAATCTTTATACACGGATTCTTCTGGTCCAGAGCTCCTCAAATAAACAGTGAAAAAAAAATTAGTACTATTGTTGTATCAAAGATTCAGTAGATCTCACTAATAGAAATATTATATATCAGTCAAAATTCTCTTTTCTCTATCAAATTCTCTCTCTCCTTTGACATGTAATATTTTCATTAATGAAATGTACTGAATCTAGATACAACGGATGTACCAAAAATTTATTCACAGGTAGCAAAACAGCATCATTTCTTGTACCGAAACAATCAAACATTTGTCTGTTTCTTTCCCATTCCAGTTCCATCAATCATGCCAAATACTCGTAATTACTACTTTGAAAATATCTAGGCAAGGTTGAGACCAAGTTGCACAACGTATCAAAAGCTCCGAATAACAAGCATGTAAATCACAGATAAAAGAAATTTTTTGTTTTTTTTTTTAGGTATAAAAGAAATTTTGAAATAAACATGATGCATGTATTGTTAATATTTAAATTAATAATTACCATATGTAAATATATATATATATATATATTTTAAATATTTCTAACATAATTTAAACATAACTTACGTAATTTTATAAATATTAATATGTTAATTTGAGTAATTATTGAATGCCATGTTTACAATCTTGCCGTAACATGCTAGATATAAGGTTTGTGAGATTGATAAATACAGAGGTTGGATTTTTTAGTTCATGATTTGTGCCATTTTTTAATGGAAAATAATTATCTTATGTTGCATAAGATAGTATAGAGATAAGGTAGTTGGATCTATTATTTTTTTTTTTAAAGAAAAAGGAAATAAAATAAGAGACTCCACTATCTTATTTTTATTGCATAAAATAATTATCTTATGCAACATAAGATAAATAGATTTTTTTAATTGCCTCAACTATTTAAAGATTTAGTTTCCACCTTTGACTGCAATTTTGTTGATTTCAACTTGGGAACTACCAAATTGCTGGAATTGGGTTCCTCTCTTTAGGACAAGGAAGCAAGTAGCAACTACTACCATTTTTAACAAGTAACAACTAGAGTAAGTAAGCGTACTAGGTAAACCAAAGGACGAATCAGAAACATGATATAGACACTTTTTAATCAAATAGGTTACATCGACCCAACATCAACAAGTAGGACTTGACTAGCCCATTTTACTTCTTAATCTATTTTAAGGTGACAACTTGGCTAACTTGTTCTGAGGAAGTGGAAGAGTGAAAGAAGAGACAAATAGCTGAAATATCATCCATGGCAATGCCCCTCCTCTTGCGTTTCCATGCATGCATTGCACATTCCACCAATCGTTTAGCTGACTTTGCTTTATCTGGTGTTGAAGATACTATATCCACTGCTTCTTGATTGGAGATTACATCCCAAACCTACACATCACAAAACCAATAACATGTCTTAATAAAAGCAATAAAATTTGTTATTGTTCCTAACTATTTCAATTAGAATATGTATATATAATAAAGGGAAAAGCTACTCTTATACAACATAAGAGTAGTTTTATCTCCCGAAGATCCATAAAAAACCGTGACATTCTTTTTTCTTTTTTTAAATGGCAGACCCCATCACATGTGTGTCTACAACATGAAAGATCCTCTCTCATGCAACATGAGATTAGATGAACCCATATATATAACAGTTTCAGCTTTTAAGGATGTGACTCCATACCCCATCAGTGGCTAGCACAACAAACTGGTCTCTAGTGCATATATTCCTGTGTGTTACCTCAGGCACTGAAATAAGACCATACTCTTTAATGCAGTAGTCACCAAAAGCCCGAGACATGGCAAGTCCCGGAGACTCTCCATCAGGCAACCACACCCTATGCACCCCAGGTTCATCATGTAAACAGAACACTCGCCCCTGGCACTGAATGATTCTCTCTGCCTCCTCTGCAAATGTTATCAGCATTAATGAGAAGCTAAGATATTATAAGAGATGAACAAAATGACAGAAACACACTGAGCCAAACTAACGAGGTAAATTGGGCTTGAAATCAACTGTTAGCTGAACTGGTACCAAACTTCCATCATCTGATGTTGTAGCTAATACAGCACGAGAGTCACCAACATTTGCTATGACAATGAATTCACCCTGGCCATTACAGAATAATTTAAGATATATAAGTTTTCAAAACAACTCGATCCACTAATATTGGTTGGTCTATTATGAACAAACTAACTAGTATACCAAGTAAAATGGCAGATATGTGATCATTGATCAATGAGGCATATTTAAATGAATTATTCTTGATTTTTGTTTTTTACCTGTCTAACAATTGAAAGGGCAGTTGTTCCGCTGTAAAATGAGTCTATCTTGCGATACTGCTGTAGTTCTTGATCAATGGCAGCACAAGTCTTCAAGTAAGAATGCTTCCATATATTGAATCGATGTTGCTTTTTCTCTGCCTCAATATCAATATCCGAATCAAGTGAAGTTTGGGCAAGGGTTTCCTGCCAATTGCATAGCAAAGATGGTGGCATTGACTCTCTTACTCTTTTGGCCACAAAGTGACCCCATTGCCCATGCCCATCAAAAATGCCGCAGAAGATCATGTCCTCTTGGCATCCAAATTCCTATAAACAACACCAACACCATCCACTATTTTAAACACAGGGACCACAATGATGTATATGGTTAACCACTCATGAATATGTGAACTTGAATTTCATGGAAGGTAAGTGGTTATTACAGCAATTTTTTTTTTCAATATTTAAGCATACCTCCCAAACTACGCAGCAATCCTGGTTCGCTCCTTTCTGGCCTTTTTTGGAGAAAACGGAGGCAAAGTTGTTTGAACCATCGACATTAACAGTGCCAGAGCTACATAGTATCAAGTTATTTTTCTTAGCTTCCTTTGACATTGCTTCAGCAGCTTCTCTCCCGCTACATCTCCCTGAACTTTTTGCTTTCTTTAATGAAAAGGATCTTGCCAATCCATTGAACATAGAGGACAAATGCCCCATCAACTCTACAATATGATTCTCACACGGGACGCTGTGGATATATAGAATCTGCACATTGAAAATATATAAAGGTTACTGAAAGAATGAAGAGCAGGTAATAAGAAATTCTTCAACAGCCCTTAGGAAGGAACCCTCTTATTTTTTTTATTTGTATCTTGCCCTGTCCTACATACTTTCTTCTGAAATAAAAAATGAATGGTGAAGCAAGTTGGAAATGCCGTGACTTAACGTAAGACAATTTCTGACTCAGAAAGCTAAGAATCTAAGAGTTAAATATTTAGAGAGAAATTAAAAACTAAATCCTGAATCGAAACAGGTTACTGAGAACTGAGAATATTCATTCTTATGCTGAATTCCAGCATTGCATCTGGAAGTCACTACACAGAGGAATGAAAATTAAAAATATATATAGACACACATCAAAGTAAATATGAATAAAGAAATGCTAATGAAAACAGGTCCTATTATTTACTTCCATTGGCTCAAGAAAACCAAAAGATGGCCCATATTCTGCTTCAACAAAAAAACATTATTGAGAAATGGAAAGAGAATTAATTTTCTGTTTTTCTTTCGTTTATTTAATGATATAGAAAAGCATGGATCAAAGGATTCGAACGCTATGTTACAAAAAAAAAAAAAAAAAAAAAGGATTCGAACGCTCAAACTCAGATTGTGTATTGGTAACTGAATTGGGAGATAAAATCAAAGTTGATTTCTTTCTGCCTCGGATTGGATGTCATGTAAAAGAAACATATTGCTCTGTTGAACATCTGAAGAGAAAAAAAATCAGATTCTGAATATGGGACATGAGAAAAACTCAATTTCCAAGACAAAAAATGTATCACAAGTCACAAACCATGTATACTGGTACATTTTCAAAAACCATTTTTCCTACCTTTTAAGTTGAATTGAATTCAAAGAAACATATAACGAAAGAAGTGAAAACATGTTGACAGAAACATCTAAAGAAAAAGAAACAGTTGGTTAAGCTTCTGATCCGAATTGGAAACTCCCATTTGCTTATTTATGTTTTCTAAAGGGACTCAAAGAAGAACACCATCATCGAAAATTTGAAACAGACCAGAATAAGTGGATGCAAGACCTTGAACTTGTTGTTGGGGAACAAGGAACTAGAAAGCCTGAATCTGAGGGAGTAACTGAAGAAAGAGTTGTGTTGGCCGGAACACGACGCAATTCCGACAAGGATAGCTGAAACTTCGAGAAAACAAAGGTGAAGAGGGATCGCAATTCATCACGGAGTTTTGTTTGGTTCTATTCTTTTCTATTTCTTCACTTCCCTTTTTATCTACGACTTACGACACGAAAACGAAGAGAGTTTTTTTTTTTTTTACAAGAAAACTATACCATCTCACTGCATGTTAATTTGTATTTATGGGTATTAGCGTATGTGACTAGTTAAACTATAATAAACCCAAATAAATATCTTCCATAACAACCATGATGGCTATGTGGCCTCTTTTTCTTTTACCAAAATTGGAACTCTATTAAACTCTGTTCTACCTGACCGTTATAAAAGGTTAAAGTTATTTGTTACCAATTTTATTTTTTGCCCTAAACACACGTATGACAAACTGAATTGTTACCTCAATTGGTTATTATTAATGGCATCATGAGACATCAATATTAAGAGGTTTTGCCCCAAAATTTTTTTGCTGTCTTCACATTTCATAATATTGCTTTTTTGTTAATTAAAGATTATATGATGTTATCATATAAATTAGGGGTGTTCGCGGTTTGGATTGGATCGGTTTTGGAAGCAAAACTCATCTGATCCAATCCTTTCGGTTTGATCATGTAATCATCCATTCGGTTTAGATTTTTTTTCAAATTTGATCCTATCCAATCCAATTTTCTTCGGTTTGGATTGGATTGGATCGGTTTTCAATTTTTTGAATATCCTAAAATTAGTTTCATGATTATTGTGCAAATAACATCTTTTGTATATATTGACTTTGTAAAAAAAAATTGAAATACAAAAATATCAGTAAACAATACTATAGTTGATAAGACGTGACTAAGTTTTTTCTTGAGTTTAGTTTATGAGTTAATGGGTCTTGAGTTTAGAAATTTTTGGGCTATGATTGGAGAAATGACAAGTAGGTAGAGGATAATTAATATATTGGATCGGTTTTCATCAATCTATCCGAAAACCGATCCAATCCAATTAAAATTTGTGATTTTTTTTCGATTTTTTATTTTTCGATTTTTCAATTTATTCGGTTATCGGTTTTTCGGTTCGGTTTTCGTGGTTTGAATCGGTTTGGATCGGTTGATGAACACCCCTAATATAAATGTATTTAGGAAATTATTGAGTTGGCATGTGTTTTTCACCCAAACATTAGGAATCTTTCTGATTATTGATGAGTACAAACTTCGCCATTTTTTATAACGTTTGTATTATTGAAATCTGCTTATCCCATTATGCAGAATCGAGCATTATTGTGCCTAATGAATCAAAAAATTTAAAAAATAAGATTAGCAGGAAAATGAAGGGCCGTTTCCTCACAATTCTAGAGATATTTGCAACTAATTAAATAAATAGTAGCTCGCACCCATGTTCATGTTTAATATCAATGATTTTGATTATAAATAAATTTGTTTTGGTTGATAATACAAAAGCAACTAATTCGAACGTGCTAACTAACTCTTCTTTTGTAGTTAATTACAACCATATCAAAAACTACATATGTTTTTTTGTAGGTAAACTAGAGAGAACTATATTGCGAAGGAACAGAAGGATTTATAAGTAATTATTATATAAGTGAATCAATTGATAGAAATTATTCCAACTTAACTTATAATAATTTTGAGTTTGAGCCGTGAATATGCAGAAATGTTAAGTATTTACAAAAACCATTTTACAAAAGTATAACAAGATAATGTCAGCGATAGCACAACTAAATCTATTATACAAGATATGTTAGACGGAGTCCCCACAGCTTGCAGCGATATTAAAAACTTTAATATATTTTTTAGTTAAATTATTGAAAACTATATTATGAAGGAACAGAAGCATTTAGAAGCATAACAAGAGTATGTCAGCAATAGCTTAATGTTTGCTAAAATATTTCTATACGCACACGTCTCATTATGGTTGAATGGCTCCTTATATGGACCAATACCGCCCAAAACCTTAATTTACCATTATCATCTTATTAATTTATATAAATCAACATATAAAATATACAAAAAGTAGTTGGTTATCGGAATGAAATAAAAATTAATTTGTGTGACGGGTGACTAGGGGGAACGCCAATCATACGAAGCCAATTCATCTAATAGAAAATGAAATAAATAATTTCAAATTACTTTCTAAAAAATTATTGTATTGAGTTTGAGTCATCCTTGCATAAGCAATAGAAAATTCTCCTGCATTTTTTTAGTAGGCTATCCAAATTTTTGTTTAAAAAAAATAAAAAAATTGAAAGAAGACTGATCATAAAGATCTTTGAACCTTTTTTGGGGCGATGACCTGGCTCAAAGTTCAGCATACAACACCCGATTTTCATTTTTTTTATTTCTAGATATTTTGCTTCCAATAAATTGCCTTATATGTCCTGTATATTTGCAGGAAGAGAATGAATATATGTACCTATTTGAATATTTTTTTAAAAGTAATTTTTTTGATTTTTAGAACAAAAAATAAAAAAATTCATTTGATAAGGTATGTTTTGTAAAAAGTAATTTAAAAATTGTAATTGTTATTTTTTTTTAGAATCAAAGTTAAAGAATATGTCTAAGTTGTTTTTATTTTCTGTTTTGACTTTTAACTTTCAAAACATAAAAACGCAGAAAATATTTATTTTTCATAACTATTCTACAAAACAGTTTCAAGAACTAAAAAATCAGAACACAATCAAACAAATCTTATTTTTCTTCTTCTAAAATATTGTATTTTATATTAAAAAAACACGTAATTCACACAACATGACTAAGAAATTGCATGATACCGTGAAGTAATGTTTTCCTAATTTTTACTAGAGTTTAATAGGCATATAGTGGTCAACGTAAAATTGACATTTACTAAAATTTTGACATATCATTATTTATTATTTTTATTTTAATTAATGAAACTATCATTAGACTCTTGTTAATATAATAGATATCAAACGGTCTAATGATATTAACTATATTTTATATTAATAATATAAACTCTTGTTAATATCATTAGACTGTCTAATATGTAATATTATTTTGTTTTGGATAATCAATGCAATGTACCTCATGAGCATATTGATAGTTCACATAGGAAATGAATTTTCTTATGTGAAAAAAAAATTAATATAGTCACATAGAAAGATCACAATCATATAAAAGTGAATTAACAATTATGATTTTATAACTATCTATTTTAATATTTTTTTTCTCTCTTATTTTATTACCATTAATTTATTTTTGTAAAATTATAATTTTTCACGTGACTATATCACATTTTTTTTATAACGAGAGAATCCAGATCCGTTCACACAATAGTGTTGGAGAATTTAATGGGAGCATTTTAAGTTAATCTTGTTTGAAGCCTATTATTTCTCTGTTTGTATTTCAAAGTTTCAGGCATAAACAAAATAACAAACATAGAAGCATTCAATGAGTCGTAGGGCAATTAATTATATCAATATCCGCCCACGGATTAGGCACTGAACTGAAAAGTGAACAAACTGTGTGCAAAAATTGAAAAGTGAACAAACTTGATATGAGCTTCAAGGCAGGCAGAGTGAGACAACAAAAGTTAGTATCCTTTCCTTAAATATATTAAAAGCTACCCTTTGCCTCAATTGCAAATCCAATTCCAACAACTCCTTTGGTCCTTGAAGAGAAAAAATCAACAAAAGTTTGCACTAAAAAATGTATATGATTCCCAATGTCAGTAAGTTCCACTTACCGTGTCTCTCCATAACTTGAAATTCACTTATGCTTTTTGGCTGGACAGCACAGAACAGCACCTTTTTATTTTTCCTAACCTAGTTACTTACTAGACGTGGTTACTGTTGATTCCTCGTGGAATGCCAGTGTCCTTGTGGTTCACCTTCCATTAGGGTGTGTTTTAGGTAAGAAAAGACAAACCAGAAGTTCCACACCGAAACAGATTAAAAATTAAAAACAAGACCAATAAAACAATGTACATATGGACACAATAGGGCAGGTCTTAGTTTGTGAAACCTACGCAAGTAATTGAACATTCATTTGGGCATTTGGCATTCAGTAAGGTATGCAATTTGCACTTAAGAATCCAAATAACCACACTTAAAATATACACATATTATAAATAAAATTCGACCGAATACATAATGCTAGTTACGTAGTTGTTTTTGATATCACCCCTCCGAAAGAGTAAAATGGGACCCATGCAAGTTCCCACACACCTACACTACATTAGTACATTGACCATTGTCCATTGTCCATTGACTAGTAGCTGAACGAAATAAACTTCCTACTTCTTGAAGAGTGATGGTATTAAAAATGATATTATATATGCATATAAACTTATATATGTTTGCAATTAAGTTTATTGTTCAAATTATGTATTGTTGAATTACATCTATATTATATATTACCGAATTTTCTTTCCAAACCCTTGAGTATAAGAATTTGTACTATTGAAACTGCTCTTGTTTGCAAGTAATTTTTTTTTTTATAAAATTTATCCTTTAATAATGCAAAAGCAAAACTTACTTATTATTTAAATTACTTATGTGAGTTCAATTTATCGCTTAACAAGTTATAGTAATTATCTGTATTTTTTTTTTCTCTACTATAATTCAGCACGAAATATTTCTTGAAGATAATATGTCCAGTACTTTTTTGTTTCAGCATAATCCACGCATCAGAACAGACATGGTGGACCCATTTTTTCTGGTCATTATGGGTCAAGGCTTCCCTATCAAGCAACTATGGGAGCAGTCAGTTACTTACGATCTTAATTCAAAATCTCAAGAGAATAAATTTATGAAGTGTATGCGTTATTCCAGTCAAAACTTAATAATAACAATGCAATATTACCGAAATGCTTAATCCTGCACTCACTCCGAATCGGATTAGTTATAAAGCAATAAACTGATTGGAATATTTCTAAAATAATTAAAATAATTTATAAAAAAAAATAAGACAATGAATGAAAAGTTCAAAGTAGCAAAACTGTTCTTCAATTTAAGAATTAAGAATAATATTACTATCCGTTATTTTCCTTTCTACAAATTTCATAATTCCTTTTACACAACTAAATTGATCTCCGTCTACTTAGTAATTATGAATATAGCTATTTATATGAGAGTCTAAGTTTTACCCTCATGTCATTTTTATTTTTCTTGTAAATATTCAGAAAAAAAAAAAAAAAACTAAATTCATTCAAAATTATTTAATAGTTGTAAATTTAATCCAAATAACATCAATTTAGCGGTGGAAGGGTCATAAATCATGATGCGACGAGATATCTAATTCCAATCGCAGAGGAGGCTTGCTATATCGTTCTACGCATGTGGATAACACGCGTACGTAGAAAAAGAGAATTGGCCGAAAGCATAACTGGGTGGGTGAGGTGAGGTGTCCTCTACCGGAGAGATCTTCATCTACCACGTGAAATCAATCGTGAGAATCAGCAATCACGTGTGGAGCGGTGCACCACATAACTTGCAGACAGGAATGAAAAGGGGCATGCACCATGCAGTGCTCCTTTTTTCAATGGGTTGGTGAGTGTGACCTCGGACTTCATGGTGGCCACACATTTATTTACCTCTACATTGCAACTATGTAATTTAAATGGGAATGGATCCTGTTAAAATTTTATATCATTATCTTTTTTTTTCATTAATAATAATTAAAATCTATTTATATATTTAATGTATATGAAAAGAAAGATAGATAATAAAATTTTACATGTGAAATTTTAACTTGAGAAAATCTAATCCCAATTTGAATATTGTAAGGACGAATCCAAAGTGCTTAGTTTTAATTTCCTTAGTTGGCTGCTTTTTCCATAACAAACAATATCCAATTTGTCATCATGTATTTGGCTCAGTGGATGCATTAGCCCCCACTAATGTCCAATAGAACCCTCCCTCTCCCTTGAACAAAATTTCCCATGCCTCAAACCCAATAAGAACCATACAAATCATTCTTGGACTATAAATTAACTTCAATTTGTGGATAGGCGGGCTCCACATGGTTTGACGATGAAATTGACGTTAAGTTTACGTTTACACAAGTGGAGTATTTATATTAGCACTGAGGATATACACATTGTGTAAGGGCGTGCTGATTATAGATCAAAATCAAATGATTATGGAGTGATAGGTGGGACATGAAAACCAACAAATATTCCATCATTAAAGATAGATAATGCATCTTCATCTGCAATTCATTGCATGTCAACATAAATTTGCAAATCCAAACCCCCTGATTTCTGAATGAATGACGGACAATAATTTGTGAGAAATTCAGCGTGTTCAGTTGAGCCTTTTCGTCACAAAGTTGCACATGGAATATATCTCCTTCCAAGCTCTACTGCTACCACATAAATTTACATGACGGGTCCCCACCGAGATGATAATTGGCACCGATATTTCTCCCACACAAGGAAATCTGTACCATGTATAGCCTTCAAATGCTACAAACATGTTGAGAAAAGCGATAGAGCATACAAAAAGTGACAACTGAAATATATCAGAATGCATTTTATGTTTCAGATTGCAAAATCAGAGGGTGGCCTTAAGTTTGTCGTATAGCTTCACATGAACAGTAAAATATCCCCGTGAAGCACGCACAGCTAAGCCCAACTCATACCTAACAGCCGCACCCTTTGATGTCGTCATGTCCTATTTTACAGGGAAAATAGAGAGAGAGAGAGAATAAAATAAAATGTCACCGTAAACCTTGTGAAGATTCTGTTTACATGACGAACACTGCAGAGTGCAGAACATCACGTCCTTATCTGAAAAGTACATAAAGATGCTTCCACATTCTGTATCACTGCGTGACAACATATGCTATGAAAATAGTTTAGGGAGTAACCTTCCATCTTTTTTTATATTCTTGAAAAAAAGTAATTTAAATTAGTATGACGACTGCCATGTGCAAAATAATCCTGCAAATTTAAGTTGCTGGATTGTGTAAATGATTGGCTTGAAACTGTCTTAAAAGCAGCAAGGACTGATGATAAAGATTGAGATCAATCCCGTCAACGTTTCTACCAACACGTGCCTGCAAAACTCCCTAACAAGGAGAAAAGAAAACAATGCTCAATCATCTTCCCATTCCCACCTTTGTGCGTGCACGTTGTGGGTGAATGTGTATTTACATATCACACGTGTCCAAGTGTGTTTGCAAGAGAAAACAGGGTAGAGTAAGGGTTTAACCAAACCTTTGCAAGCACATACCTCATTGTCAGGTAGGATAAGGAGTTCACCAATGAATTGGTAGACAGAGCCAACTTGAAAGGTAAGGTCCCTCAGATGTTCAGTACTAACTTTTAGAACGTCATTACCATCAATAACTGTTGCTAGGCCTGTCTCTAAAGAGTATTTGTGTAACCTGGGGGAGGCTTGACATAAGTTATTGAATGATACTTTACTATCATCATTGGCAGCAGCAACAACAAAAGATATATTAATACGGTCTATCGAATGCAATCATACAGCAGTTTGTACCAATAGAACAGATAGAGATAATTAGACAAGGAATTCAAAAATTCACTACAATCTGCATGGACTGTTTCAATTATTAGTAAATGTCTTACATGCTTAATTACTCTCAGTTCCCTTAGTTTTACCAAATTCAGTTTTGAACACCCTAGATTCAATTGAAGATAGTTCTCAAATGTGATGCAATTCCCGTGTCAGTCTTCTATTGATATGTGATACCGTGCCACACAACAAAATATAGTATTATCACACAGACTCATATTAGTTTAATACCATGTAAACAAGAAAGGAGTTGTCACTAAAAACTGAGTAAATAAACAGCAAACAAACAAAGGAACTTAATTGCCTCCGTATAAAATTTACAGGGGCAAAATTACTGTAATTGGAAGCAGAGGGACCAACATTTTAACTTTGGTCAAACAAGAAAAACCAGAAATGTAATTAAGACTATCTTATATGTTAGTAATGAACTCCTAACGCAGCCATATGGAGGTAAAAGAGTCTGATAACATCCACTTTCAGCGATGATGCATTCTCACACGTTAGTTAGTACAATTTATCAACTAACTACAATAAACTCTAATGACAGAACTTCAAGAAGTGAACTACAATCAAAGAGTTTTGTGTTCAGTTTTTATATCTGAGAACTAAGACACAGATGATAATTAATGAGCTAAAACCTTCCACAAGGTCTGATTAATGACCAAGATGTATTTTATTGTAGATGTGTTATTTAATTTTGCCGGAAATGAAAACAGACCAAAAGAAAATCCAAAAGGATTAAATTCAATTAAAAAGGAACAAGCAGGGAAATTTTGTTATCTTCTGGTAGTGAACATATGTTTCTAACATTGAAACTTCTCTCCAGTTCGTGTCTACATGCCATTCTTTTGGGAAATGAGTCAATATATTAATATTTTTAGTAATTTTGAAATCCTTAACATCCAGGAACATATAGATCTGATCTGAGACACAGAGTATGCCAACTTTCTCCAAGCTGGTCAAAATCTCCAGGCAGTTTAGTATTGCTATATGACTCCTATCTACATGGCAGACACTAACTTTACCATATTCAAACCACCATCATGCCAGAATTGTGGTCCCGCCATACATCTATGGCGAAGCCAAAAACCAATTGCTGCCATGCTCACCCAGCTAGCATGCTGTAGATAATTCCTTCAAGCACAATATAACTACTATTGGTAACGGTATCCACATGACCTTCATTACTAGCAGTCCTATAAAGCATAATCAGACCTAAGGATGGGGTACTGATGCAATGTTGGATAAATACCACAAGAGTTTCAATTTACATATTCATTCACCATCATTGGCAACAAAACCCAAAGACAGGGAATTTTGACATTATTTAATATCTTTCATTGTCCCTATATATAATGACAAACTTCCCACTAAATAAAATATGAATTCATTAGGAATAGAATGACAGATCTCACTTTCCAATTATTCTGAGCGAAGCTCCTTGCTTGAAAAAAGGAGATGATGGACGCAGGTCTTGTAAAGAAACCAATGCACCAGATTTTATTTCAAATGATGCCATCAGGCTTCCCCCGTTACTGAGCAAAGCTTCTAGTTCTGCCTGCATTTTGAGAAAACATAACTAATGACATTTCACGAGGCACGAATCCATGTTAATGGTAAGTTATACTACTAAAGCTTTTGTAGCACACCATCCATCTCTAGACAAGCTATTAATTCTAACACAATGCCAAATGAAGTCATTACGTAATGTATTTTAACAAATTATTTCGTTCACGAATGAATGATACTTGTCCATAATTTCTAATCAGTTAATTATTCTCTATAGTTGTCTATCTAACTTTTTTTTTTTTTAATTACAGTTTTTGACACAATTTCAGAATGAGCAATGGGCCATTGATTTCCAAAATCTTTTCGTTAGCCATTATCTTCTTCATATCAAAACCATAGCAGAAAAAAAATTATGATTCCTGTCATATTATAATGCTTCATATTTATGAAATAATTTATTTTCAACTAACCCTATAATTATGGATTAAGATCTGTTGATACAAGTGCAAATCAAAATCATTCTTACAACAATTAACCAGGAGGAAAGAAAAATAATTCTTACATCAATGAATAACTTTTTATAGGATGAGAAGTTTTACCATTGAATAGAAAGAACACCCATTATATCACTAATAAAATTTCACATTAATCCAAGATTGTTTCTACCACATCATCTTTATCATCTATACAAATTATTTTATTTTATTTTATTCAATAGTGGCATTGAGATTTGAATTAATAACCTCATGCAAACTACTCAAGCCTCTAACCATTAGCCCACTCCTAGTAGCTTATACATACGAAAATTTCAAATATATTATGTTTTCTCCTTTTCTGGACGATCAAAATCTTGTTTCCTTTTTCCATCCCCATCTTTGAGTGCTCTAACCATTTTGACAAATACCTTGCAGGCATACTTCTGTCTCTTTCTACCCAGTTTTCTTCCCTTTCTGACCACACTACAAATTGACAATTCGTACTGCTCAGGAATAAAAAATTCAATTCCAATGTCATTCATTCCCCTTCAAATATCTCAAATATCCCACTATTCGTGGCAACTTTAAAAACCCAGTTCTCTTTTCTTTCTTTCTTTTTAAAAAATGCAACGAGTTAAAAATTAGCTACAACAATCTGTTAATCAAATACATTTAGCCAAAAGCCATGAGAGGTTTTTCAAACGCTTGTGGCTGTCATTCATTTTGTAAAGGGTGGGGATTGAGGGACTTGAAACCAAGACAAATCACTCCATAATCAAAGTGAAAAAAGGGGAGAGAAATAATAACACTTAACGAGTAGATATATAGAAAAGAGAAGCATATTAGAACAGTGATGTTAACTAACAGAAGACAACCTGAAGAAGGAAGGAGATGCTAGTGTAGTGGTGCCCCGGCAAAGAGCTCTCTGCATCTCGCGCTTTTAGGTTTGAACTATAATTCTTTATGGCTTAAGTTTTCTGCATTAAACATAGATAACTTATCTATCTTTACTTTCTTAAAATGATGTTATTTTGAGTTAAAAAATAAAAAAATAATAATAAAAAACACTATTATAATCATGAAATATATTATAATTATAAAAATATCGTAATTTTTGACTCTAAATAACGTCGTTTTAAGCTCAATGTAAATAAATTTATCTACACTGATGGTAGAAAAAAAAGTGAACTCATTCTTTATAGGTTAATCTTTTCTCGTGAAATTTTTTTCACATAAAATAAGAAAATTAATCTCCTTCTTCATATTTATACGCTTTTTTTTTTCTTCAAAACTCTTATAAATTATATTACGTAATTCGAGTAATACATAATTAACTATTTATACTCCAAATATATATAGTATAATTTATAGAAATTTATAAACAAAAAGTATATAAATATAATTTTATTCTAATTTCATATTATTGAGAATAACATGAGGTGATGTATAGAAAAGTCTATAATTTTATTAAGTTAATTTAATAAAAAAAATTATACTTACGATCTATTTTTGTTTATAACATCTTATAATCATATCTTAATTATTGATTTTGTTTATACTCTTACAAATTGTTTGCGTAAAGACCTAAATTAATAATGTTCTTAGATTAAGGTCCTTACAAATTGTTTTCGCGTCTTCCATTCATGTTTGCAAAATGTCACCCGCTAGGTGCTAGCCTTTGATGATCTTAGTTCTTGACCTCGTGACTGGGCCTGGCGGGTTTAAGGTTGTGGGCTTGTGGGTGGAGGTCGTTCAAGATCCGATTCTCGAAGCCTATGACGCCATAAGGACGTTGCAACTTGCAACATTCGGCCTTAGGGTTGTCCAGCTACGATTGTGGACTTGGCCTCGACCATTTCATGTTGTTATTTACAAAAGCTCGATCATAAAGCTTGATTTTCGTTTTATGTATTAGTTCTCTTTTTCTTTTTTCTTTTCTCCTCCAACCTATTTATTATTGTAATAAGATATTATGTCTACTTTTTTCATGCATATTATGTTGGAAAAACTCGATTTGCTCAGATCGGCTCAGAGGCTTTTTGTGCGGAAGTCAATCAACAAGATCCTGATCTCGGATCTAGGGAATACCTCGGCCTGAACTTTACCAGGTCGAGCAGCGCAGTGGAAAAATCAAAACGATAAAACAGGAGAGAGAGAGAGATGGAACACAACCAGTTTTAACGGGGGAAAATCTTATTCAACGAAGAAGTAAAAACCCACGGGACCTAGTGCAGATCAGAAATTCACTATGAAAATAATGGTTACAAATAATCAGAATCACCAATGTGGTGGTTAACTCAACCTCTCCAACAATGGTGATAATCAAACCTCTTTAGAGATGTTTCACTCAAACTCTCTCTAGAGATCTCTCAAATGCAAAGCATAAAGCTTTGCTCAAACAATTTTCTCTCAAATATCTGTCAAATAAAATTCTCTCATATGACCTAGCCTCCACTCACAACTAATGAGTATATATAGAGGAGGTGAAAATTAGGGTTAGGGATTTTAGGAAACCCCTCAATGGACTTGGGCTTAGCATTGAAGGAAGAAGCCCAACATATTCTACCTACCCATTCTCTCTAATATTGCTATATTAGAATTTCAAAAAATCTACACACTTTTTTCATCCTCTTAAAATTCTTATTTAACGGGGTTAGAAAGAAATAAATATAAAAAAAGATAGCTATAATATTGTATCCCTTCATTATTTATACGACTACTCGGGATTGAGTATTGTTAGACTTATTAAGACACTTTTTTCAAAATCATTTTTGTTATTCTCGAACTCGAATTCAAAATTTATGATTACAGAGAACAAATTTTTTATCACTTCAATCAATAATTATTGGTTATTCAATTCAATTGAATAAAAAGTAAGATAAAAATAAAAATGAATCTTAGTCATGGTGTTTTATTTCACACATTTGGATAAAATTTTGAAATATAAGATGTGTGTAACACAATTAAGAAAATAACCCTTGTCAAAATAAAATTTATTTTATTTTACTTTAATATGCAGGGTTTTTACCGGAGCTTGGATCAAACTTTGTAACATAATGTCTAACCTATGTGGTTGCTATGCTTTCATGAGTCTTCACAACTTCAATTTGAGGAAATATTCCCTAAATTTATTGACAACATCAAAATCCTTTAGCACATAGAAAGTCCTTCACAGTTGATTAGGCATGTTAATTTCATTAAATAAATAAAAAAGAGTTATTTCAGAATAAACTTGTTTGTAAAAATAAGGAGAATATCTATCATTGATTTAATCTGAAGCACATCACAATCTTAACCCACTATTTGATTTCAGAGATAATTGTTCATTTTACACTGAAGTTTATCTAAAGAATATTTTTTCTAGCAATTTCACCTCGACTTACAAATTTTTAACTGGATGGATTTAAAATCCGTCCCACTATAATGGGTATGTTTAGGTTTAACATCATCCCTTCTTTTGGTATTAATGAAGTCAATTACACTAATATATTAATCTTTATTAGTTTAACTCTTATCTTAAACATTTTTTTAGATTATGTGAGATAATGAATTATTTTTAATATTTATATATATATGTAATTCACAATATTTATTAGTACAAAGTAGATGTGGTTTTACTATTTTGCCGTGTAGAGTAGGTTTGGATTTTAATTCTTAAACGTGCATGTTGTAACACCACCTAGTAGAATTATGAAACGTTTGTTTCCAAAAATAAAAAAAATTATGAAATGTTTTTTTGTACCATATCTTAAATTATATAGTAAATTAGTAAGAGCCAGGGTATACTTACACTACAAGAAAAATGCTCTTTAGCTACGGAAAAAATTGTGGCAAAATATGATAAAAACTGTGGCTAACTTAATTGTCCACTGTTTCAAAAACCGTGGCTAAAACGGGCGTTGCATTATTTTAACCACGGTATTTTTTGCATTTAACCACAGTCGGTATGAGTGTGGTAACATTGATTTAGCCACGGTTAATGTTATATTAGCCACGTTATATTCGTGGCTAAACGATTTGGATCCCAACGATGAAAAGTTATATTTTGCCACAAACAGAACCGTGGCTAATTATAAGAATTTTTTTTTTAAAAAATGAAAAATATTACAAATTTTCCCAATCATATAAAAAACAAATAATAAAAATTACATTTGCTACAAGAATCAAAAACCAAATTAAGGGAGATAATCAAATGTAGTGGAGTACACAATTTAACACAATATATATTTTTTTCTATTCATATACGTATATCATGATTTTTACACAATTTCTAAAAATTCATATTTTTTTCCATTTCGTATAAGCTGAAAGAGTTTCCTTTATCAACAAAAGGAGCTAATCAAGTTTTCCACTTACATAATTTAAGAGAAATAATTGTCAAATAAAGCTAAAACTATAAGTTTGTGATTGTCACTAGACATCTATACAAAATATTAACTTCATTGTTGAACTAAACAAAACATGACAATACATTTTTTAAATATTCTTCCAAGAATTGTTGTTGTATGCATCCTATCCTTTTAAAAGGGCTTATCATCAAATCATACCTGCATAAAAAAATAAAATAAATAAGATATACTAAAATGTCACATAACTTTTCAATGAGCGAGTTTGGAATATGTATATGAGATAACCATCGACATCTCAAATAAACTCAATTCAGTTGAGATACTCATCTTATCGTGTGAAGGCATGTGATGCACTTTCAAACCACTAAGAGTCTTATATGCTGGCGATCAAATTCAAAGACTTGTGTTGGTTAATTCCTGATCGATAGTGCATAGCAGACAGTGGCCGAAACCTACCTCAGAAATTAATGTCACAGTTGGAAATGCCATTCTCCTACTGATCAGGAAATCCACAGATCATTTCCCATATAGCATTATATTAACCAAATCTCATGAAATAAGTATTTAGCTCAATCTTGGTCCACACAACTGACGCAAGTAAATTCAACCAAACATAAGTGTACACAGGAACAGGGTAGGGATCTAGACAAGTCATAAATAGCACCCTACCACACAAAATAGAAAACTAAAACACATACACCCCTCTTGATAATAAACATAACCATATTGCAATGACATTGTACATAAACCTGCTCAAATGCCATACTCATTCAGTATGAAAAAATGAGCCAATCTAGATATGGTTAAACACCACAAACTTGCAGGCAACATTATTTTGTGAGACACATTTGTAATAAAGCCCGTATATATGCTCATCCCTGATAAAGGTATATGTCATAATTATCTATATCATTGGATTTACTTTCTAAGTGGTGCATTACTATTTGACTTGAACAATGGGAAGCTACTTGCAAGATAGAAGAAAGAAAGAAACCCATATCTGTCATGAGAGCTATAAACACCAATAGCAAACCATAAGAGCAGTTTATGTTTTACCTAATATCTAAGCACAATACAAGACAAAAGATTAACACTATAATAATACATTAAAAATGCATTTACTCATCAAAGTGGTGGTAGTTAAATTATTCAATAGAATACAAATGGTGAATTAAATAAGTGTTGCAAAAGAACAATTACAAAATCCTTTTATGACGTAGTCAATTGATTAGCAAGTACGTTGGTAAAACACTCACTATACCAATCCAAGATAAAACAGAGCAAGAGCAGCACTTGGTACAGATCAATTAACACAACTTAAATATAATGAAGTCCTTAGTTGTTTCACAAGCACCAAGGCAATGAGGCAAATAAGTTTGAGATAGTATCTATAAATGAACAATTTAGAATAGAATCTTAGATATTAATTTATTGTTTAACTAAAGATATCAAATACCTTGTAGTTGTAGTTCCTTTGTATCGGTGTCCTCCCCTTCCCCAACGGCTAATGCTGCTCAATTGGTTCTCCGTAAACTACTGAAAAATTCAGAAATAGACAAATCTATTCTCAGATCAAAAGA